GCAGCACTAAGAGATAGCAATAACACAAGGACGACGAAGGTGTGTAACGCTCTAAACCAGGGGTTCTCAACCTTGGCAACTTTTAAGACTTGTGGACTTCAACTCCCAGAATTCCTGAGCCAGCATGGCTCAGCTTGCAAACCTCTCCCTTTCCCCTCAGCATGGCTGGCTCAGGAATTCTGGGAGTTGAAGTCCACAAGTCTTAAAGTTGCCAAGGTTGAGAACCCCTGCTCTAAACCCAGAGGAATTTCCCTCCAAGTAGCTTATAGGCTGAGTAGCAGCGTTTCCTTTAAATGCCACGTGCGGCAATACTATTTCCATAAGGTTTCATCTGAGCTTCCTTGAAGGCTGCAATCCGCCTGGACAATCTCTTCCAGGCTCCCTTCTTCCGCCCTCCCCAATGGGAACACCTGCCCTGCCGACATCCACGTGGCCGGTCCTGCCCGCCAACTCGGATAGCCCAGGGCACTTCCGAAGCTGCGGCGGGGATTCCCTGCCCTGCAGTCACGTCGGAAGATGCCCTTCCAGGAGGGCCACGCACACGCGTGCCCGCCACGTTGGCCTCACCACTCCAGCCGCTTTCCCAAAAGCCCGCGCCGCCTTATCGAAATGGTTCTCCCGCAAGAAGCCGAGCACCAGCGGGAGCAAGTCGCTCGGCACCGCACGCCCCGACGCCATCTTTTCCGCCGGAAGAAGCGGTCGTCGCCGCGCCGGATGCTCTGTGGGAGGAGAACCTAGAGATATGAAAATTAGAATAGCAGTACAACTCTTGCACTTCTAAGTTCAGTCTGCGACTACAGTGAGAAACTACCTGTTAGGAAAGGGGAAAATCTGCAGCGGTTTCTGAGGAAAACAAGTGCTGCTTTCGAAACACGCATATAATGCTGGGAAGGGAGGGGCGAGCGATTGTTGTTGGGGTCAGTCTGAAAAATCGGGCTGAGATGAGGTTAGAGGAGCTCCCGCCCCGTTCCTATTGGCCAGGGGTAGGCCACCTTGGCTCTTTTATGACTCGTGGACTTCAACTCCCAGAATTCCTGAGCCAGCCATGCTGAGGGGAAAGGGAGAGGTTTCCAAGCTGAGCCATGCCGGCTCAGGAATTGTGGGAGTTGAAGTCCACAAGTTTTAAGTTGCCAAGGTTGAGAACCCCTGATATAGGGCAGGGGTGGGGAACCTTGGCTCTTTTATGACTCGTGGACTTCAATTCCCAGAATTCCTGAGCCAGCCATGCTGAGGGGAAAGGGAGAGGTTTCCAAGCTGAGCCATGCTGGCTCAGGAATTCTGGGAGTTGAAGTCCACGAGTCATCAAAGAGCCAAGGTTGCCTACCTCTGCTATTGGCCATGACAGGGAAAGAAGAGGAAGCAGGATCTCCTGTTATCCAGTCTCTGTGGGTTCAGAGGACTGGCAGCAAACGATCCCCTCTACCCTGCTTCTCTCCCCACGCTTCCCCTGCCAGCCCATGAGTGGCTGGTAGGTAGGTAGGCGAAGCGGCAAAAGGAGGCGAGAAAGCGGCTCTTTTTATTTCCAAATTTTCTTCCAGACAGAAATGCTCAGAGGTGCTTCACCCTACAGCAAGCTGCACTCCAGTGGATAAGTCGGCTGGAATTTTAATCGTGTGTCCACTAGTCTTCTGAAATTTATTTAAATTTATTTAAATTTATCATTTAATTTATCATTAAATTTATCTCGGAGTCGTAGTGGACAATCACCTAAATATGAGCCAGCCGTGTGCTGCAGCTGCCAAAAAAGCCAACACAGTGCTGGGCTGCATTAACAGAGGGATGGAATCAAGATCACGTGAAGTGTTAATACCACTTTACAATGCCTTGGTAAGGCCACACTTGGAATACTGCATCCAGTTTTACACCACGATGTAAAAAAGACCAGTGGAACAACCTGCCTCCAGGAGCGGTGAATACCCCAATATTGGAGGTTTTTAAGAAGAGACTGCACAGTCATTTATCCGAAAAGGTCCCTTCCAATTTTATTTTTTATTATTGTTGTTGTTGTTATTATTATTATTATTGCATCAGCACAGGGCCCAACAAGTATACATACAGGTTTAGAGGTACCTTCATTTGTTGTTTCTCTAATGTAGTGTATGCTATCATCTGTTTTTTAATCAGAGAAAAAAAGAAGATGAAAAAGATGAAAGAACAGCACAATTTAAGTTGCAGTTTGTGAAAATCCAAGGGAGCTGCTGGTTCTTTCTACAGAAAATTCATATAACTCCTGGGAAATAAGACGTCAAACTTCTCCCTGCACTGGAGGAATCCTATTTGCCATTTGCTCATTCCTACTGGTTTCTCAGTTTATTTTCTCTATATTTAATAGTTTATTTTAATACTGCCCTATCTTTTGAGTAGTAGAATATTGATTTCCCTTTTTATAATTATACACTATATAATTATAATTTATATAATATATAACATAATTGCACATCTGAATGGCAATACCCAGGCTTCACATGTTATCACACTAAGCCCTAATTTGATGTAATTCCAGACAGAAATGTTTAAATTGTACTAAATGATAATGTACTGTGAGGATTCTGTCTTAGCCTCTTTGTATATAAAGAAATGAGATGGAAGAAGTGGTAGGCTTAGGGTATCTAGCTTAAGATATATTAAGTACCCTTCAAGTTCTGTGAAGAGGCACAGCAAATGCATAACAAAAGCTAAATATGAAAGCAACCTGATTCATATTCTTGGGAAAAGTTGTTGAGGAAGTGGGGTGTTGAGGTGAGGGTTGCAGCTTTAATGGGTCCTGTTGAGGAATCAGAAAATGTGGAATAACTTCAGTACAGCATGGAAACAATGCTGGTCCCACTTGTAAACTGGTGGGACTGGAAAATTGTGACCCTTCTGCTTTATCTCTCAGTACTTTTTGATATTATCAATCATGACTTCCTTCTGAGTCACCTCTGAGAATTAGGAGGGGGAAGTACTCATTTATAATGGCTCTCGTTAAAGGGATGGTTTCAGTCAGTATCGGTAGTGGAAGAAAGATTGAGCTTAGGTTCATCAGGTATTGGGTACTACTGTATCTTCTTCTCTATATAAATAAAAATGTAAATGTTTGTTCAAAATCTTAAATCTCCGAAAGTTCTTCACTGATTGCTTTGAAATTTTGACACAACGTTGCATTCGAATACGCACGTGTTTTTATATACCTACTATTATATAGATGTCACACCTGTGACAGGTAAAAACATGCTTTTTTTGAAAAACAGCGCCATCTGTTGGACGTAAAAGCATACCCACAAGCATTGTGAAATTAAACATATTACAAACGTGCGCTTTCTCTTTTCTTTCTTTTCCATTTAACCAGACTGAGCCACAGCAACGCGTGACCGGGTACAGCTAGTTATTAAATATATATGAACTTTTACAGATCTTATACACTTACCAGAACGTAAGCAACAAAGATGCCACCAAGAAAGTACTAATCATTTTCTGAAGCCTTTTTAGAACATATTCAAAATCTCTTTTCTCTCTCTCTCTCTCTCTCTCTCTCTCTCTCTCTCTCTCTCTCTCTCTCTCTCTCACACACACACACACACACACACACACACCAACAGTGATCACTGATTTGAAGGTGTGATGACCCAGGGCCCCGCATGGAGGCAAAGCAGTTGGCTGGCAAGATAAACAGTCCTTTAATAACTGCCAATGTTCCCCAAAAGCTCCCACATATGCTGGCAAGCACACACTCACGTTCCTTTCAGCTGCCTTTGGCTGAAGGCAATTTCAATATAGTCGGGGAAGTATACAATGTCCTCAAGGCCAGACAGATAACAAGAAAACAAAACAGAAACTTAAAAGAGTCCTTTTTAAATCTCAGCTTGCCTGCAGTCTGCAAGGAGAGACTCAGAATTGCAGTCTGTGGTTGTAAAGCAGGAAACCAGCCAGTCCGGTATTCAAGGTGTCCAGGTTAAACAAAGACAAGAGCACAATTCACAATTGTCCTAAAATACCGTGTTTGTTCCGGGCAAATGCCCCACCCCACAGTATCTCCTTAAATCTTAATCCCCAGGTGTGCCTTGTAGAGTGCGGCGGGAGGCTCTCCTTCCGAGCAATTGAGCCTGCCTACATTGTTCTCTCCTCTCTGCTCTCCTTGCTCTAGGATGGGGGGGGGCTTGCTCCTCACCTGAACTCCGCCTCCCCTGTTCCAAACCTGAAGGGCCCTGGCTTGCCTCAGCCTGCTCTTCCCCACAGTTCTCCAAAGCCACAGACACCTCCTCCTGGACCTCAACAGGGTCCTCCAGCTCCATGTCCTCGGATTCAGGCTTGGAGGGAAGCATGACAGACAGACAGACAGATAGAGATACAGTAGTCCATTGACCAANTTCTGGTTGTTGCCTTCATCTCTCTACCAGCCACGAAGAGAGATGGGGGTCACCCAACTCTATTTTGATCAAAATAAAAGTTGTTTGCTTGCTGAAACCTCGACTCAGGAGTTTCTTTGGCTCTTTTAAATTCCTGAGTAATGCTGGGGCAGTTGTGAGGCTAAGTGGAAAACCTTATAGTAAGATATAAGATAAGATAAGATATAAGATAAGATAACCTTTATTGTCATTTTTTTTTTTTACTGTGGGCACAACTGCACACATCAAAAATGAAATTTAGCTGCCCGCTCTCAAAGTGAAACACATACACCTAAACACGTATTACATACAACATATGTATAGGTTAACTAGAACAGCCCATAAGCACTATAAGTAAAAACAAAGAACTAGGGCAGAGGTAGGCAACCTTGGCTCTTTTATGACTCGTGGACTTCAACTCCCAGAATTCCCGAGCCAGCATGGCTCAGCTTGGAAACCTCTCCCTTTCCCCTCAGCATGGCTGGCTCGGGAATTCTGGGAGTTGAAGTCCACGAGTCATAAAAGAGCCAAGGTTGCCTACCCCTGATTACTAGGGTTTAACTAATCATTATCTTTCCTCACTGCGCTTACAGCGCACTAAACTGCAACACTGAGACTGGTGCTTTGCCACTTATTTGGTACACAGTATTGTACAGAAGTTAGCAAAATCGGCAGCAAACAATCCCGCTGCCCCGGAGAGGCGCCTTCTCCATCGGCACAAAAGTTCGCGGGCTTCTGCCCGAGGGGGCCCAATTGCTCAGTCCGTGGGCTGCGCCGAACGAGCCACCTGCCCCCGGCAGGAGCGGCTGGCCGAGGGGGGCTCCGTCCGTCGCTTTTCTACCGGCGTAGAGAAAGGGGAAGGGAAAGGGAGGAAGTGGTCTCAGTCTTCAGCCGGCCGGTTGAGGCGCCAGAACTGTCGCGTCGGCGAAGTAGGAGCCTGTCTCCCCCACAAGCGCCGGAAGGAGGTCGGGGCAAGACCTCCGGCTGACTTGCCGGCCATCGGGAGGCAGATCGGCTCGTCTGAGGCGAAGCTCGGCATGGCGGCCGCGCCGGGTAAGTGAGGCGAGCTCGGAGGCCGGAGAAAGAGCGTCACCTCCCCCCCCCCCATCCAGCTGTCTGGCTCAGGGGTAGGCAACCTTGGCTCTTTTATGACTCGTGGACTTCAACTCCCAGAATTCCTGAGCCAGCATAGCTGGCTCAGGAATTCTGGGAGTTGAAGTCCACCAGTCATAAAAGAGCCAAGGTTGCCTACCCCTGGTCTGGCTGGTCCGCTGCCCTCCTTCTTCGTTTCGGTTGCGGGGAAAAAAGCGGCTCCCTTGCCCCG